GACGAGAGCGGACACGCTGCGACTATGTCACAGGCCCTGAAAGCCCGCACCTTTCGAGGACGACCGGCTTCCGAGAGGCGAAGCCGGTTGCGCCTGGTGCCTACTTGGCCAGCGCGTGCAGGGGCAGCGCTTCGGCCGGACGGGCCGGCGATGGCTGCTCGCGAAGGCGCGCAACGCGCGAGACCATGTCCTCGATATAGGGGTCGTGTATGCCGAGCGACCGCGCATGGTCGGCGGTGTTGGTCAGGTAGTCGCGGCACGCGCCGCGGCGCCCCTCGGCGAAGGCGATGTGATGGGCGGCGCGTTCGATCGGCAGGTCGCCGCAATACTGGCAATGCCCGGGATCGACCACGAACGAGATGGCGGACACGATACGTCCGTCCCGCAGCCGGGTCGGCACCCAGCGCGCCTTGTAGAGGCCCGCCAGCATTTCGCGATTCCACAGGAGGGCGAGTTCGCCGCGCACCAGGTCGGCCGACAGTCGATAGGCCATGCCTTCGCACTCCCCGCCCTGTTCGAGCGCCAGCATCAGGCCCGGCAGGTCGGGCGTACCGCGGCCCATCGGGGTCCAGAAGCAGAAGGAGCGTCGCCAGCCGTCGACCTTGCACTGCTGCATCTCGGCATAGTCGAGTGCCGGATTCCACATCAGCGAGCCGTAGGCGAAGACCCAGACATCCTCGCCCGGCGTGTGGTCGGCCAGGGTCTCGGCGAGACTGGCCTCACGCTGGGCCGAGGACAGGAAGAAATGATAACCGGCGGCATGGGCATCGGCCACGATCCGGTCGATCTGCTCCGTCGTCAGGTCTTCCCGTGTCAGCAAGCGCCGACCCTCAGGTGCCGTACACGATGGACATGGTCTCGGCCACGCAGGCCGGGCGTTCCTGTCCCTCGATTTCGATGGTGACCTGGTTGGTCAGTCGCACGCCGCCCTTGTCCATCGGATCGGCAGCGATCAGCTTGGCACGCGCCCGCACCTTCGAACCGGCCGGGACCGGGCTGGTGAAGCGCACCTTGTTGCAGCCGTAGTTGATGCCGTTGCGCACGTTGTTGATGTGCGAGATCTGGCTATT